GTATTTTCTTTTTTTTTTTCAAAATGTTAACAAAGTAAATATAACTGAGTAAATGTAACTAGTTACTACCCACCTTTGGATGCATACCTACATCAGTGTGACCAACAGAAGGAGGAGATGCCAAACAGTTTTGGTTTTAAACTGTTTTCCGATGCACCACTGGTTCCTAGGCTTATCAAATGAGTTAATTCTTAAACTGTGGGAGTATGTTATTTCATTAAAAATAATCTTATGATCCAAAATAGAGTCAATGACGGAATTTCCACTTGGTTTGCTATGTGTAAATTATTAGAATACTTTGTCTCTCTAGAGACATAGACAGGGGGCGGCGCCTCGTGGCAGTGGCCAGGAACAGCTCTCAACATTCAGCTTATTCCCCACTGCCATTAGACCGCTAAATGTTGAATAAAACCATAAATCATATCTCAGTCTTTTGTTTACATTTCATCATCGTGTTTACATTTCATCACTGCTGCACTTAAAGAAATGGAAATGTCCTGAGAGCTGTACTGAATGAAATTTCATTTTGTATACATCCTGTGTGTACAAAATGACAATAAAGTTTTTCTAAGTTTTTTTCTACACCAATTCTCATCTATTGGCCTTTTTTTGCCTGTCTAAAAAGCCAGACAGTGAGAGTGGCTGCTGATTTTCATTTAAGTCAGTGTACATTTTGGGGACCAGTATATCACAAAATCTCAACATGTAGCAAGGCTGAAGGTTGCACTTTTAATTCACAAAACAGATCTTTGCTATTTAAAAAGATTTCTCAGCTTCATGGTATTTGAAAGCCATCCTCCTTAATTTTGCCTAATCTCTCTGTGCAATGCAACAGTGACACTAACATGAAACAGGGCCCACAGCTTGATGCTTCCACCAACATGCTTTACAGGTATAGGGTTCTAAGCTTGGTAGAGCTTCACCCAGCTTCTCTCAGTTTACTTCCTTTCATTGTAGCCAAACCGATTAAAGTATTGTCTGATCAGAAAGCCAGCCTTCTGAAGATATTTCACTTGGTAATAAAGCAGGTAGAAATTGTAGTCGTGGTGACAGGTGTCCATTTTGAAGCTGGGTTTCTTTATTGGTTTTGACTTATGTTGATATTACATTGGCTTCAAATGATAAGTAGCATGCAGACCGATGATGTTTCCAGTTCATAGGTGGCTCAATACCTGGTGCTCTGAGTTTAAAGGTTTTCTCATTACATCCTTACCAAACCACAAAAAGGTATTTAAATGTTAAATCTAATAAATTTACACATTATAAGAACATATAAAAAATTGTAACTTGTGCTTCCAGTTATTGATTTTTGTTATTATTTCAGTTTGGTGTCATACATTCATTTCACCCTATGTAAAGAATAATATATTCAATAAAATTAATACATTCAAATTAATCATTAAAAGTCTGTTATTATGATGATGATTTACGATATGCTTCCCCCTTGGTTGGTATATACAGAGGT